AATATCTGGACCTCCTAACCACCCATACCCATTGTAATTTATAATGAGGAGGACAGAGCTCCCCCTACACAGCCACGAGCTCGCAGTTACCACCTCACAGGTATCCTCCTCTCACACGCCTGTGAGCACAAAGGGACAGCCCCACAAAGGACCTGCCACAGCTTCCTGACTCTGCTTCTTGCCTCCTTCCTCCAGCTCCCAGAGACCCCAGGAGAGAGAAGGCAGTGCTCCGTGGTGGCCGGGAGCCAGGCTCAGCCCTCAATCTGGTTGATACCTTCCCCTGGAAGACAATGACCGTAGCCTAAGCACCATTCTATTTTTAACACTTCCTAATCCAGTGGTGGCTGGTTTCCTATGAGCAACCCTTCTTCCCATCTCAGTATAAAAAATACAAGAAGCCAAGATCACTATTCATTTGTCTTCACATCATGAATATTTATTATTAATTCCTACATCCCATCCCACCCTCAACCCCGTCCCCTGTGCACATTTAACGTCATTTATCAAGGAGGGCATTGGCAATTTTGGTAAAATGAATATGGGCTATTCAGGGTCAAGAGAAAGATTAATTTGAATGGGCCAATTTGCTAAGACAATTAACGTCCTCAAAACCGAAACCAGAGATATGCCCGTAGTCCTTTCTTCAGTGGCTTGGAGAAGAACCGAGAGACTGAGGAATGAGTGACTGAGCTCCCTGGAGCTCCCTGGAGCTCCGCTCCTGCTGGGCAGCAGGGATGGTCTGGTAGGTGACTTTCCAGTGAAGTGGTGGTTCTGCATTTCCCACTAACTGGTATATTTATATATTTGTCTATATAAATGTTGAGTGACTCCTTCTAGCCGTGGCTGAATAGACCTTGATATTTCCACATTCTTTCAGTGTGTTACTGATCGATTGCATGCTAGCTACAAAAAAAATAAGATAAATATTTTACCATGCTATTAAAGCTTGGACCGTTATCAGACACACAGACATATACACTCTCGTTCTGTCGTTTAAAAATTCATCTGCCTGCATTTTCCCGGGGACGCTGCAGGGGACCAGAGGCTTCCCAGCCACTTGAATAGCCCGGATGCCCTGGTCCCCAGGATGCAGGCTGGAGGGAGACTGAGGGAGCAGACAGCCTGCATCTGAGAGGGCATGATGACATGTCACGCTGTGCGTGGGGGGAGCAGCCCAGCATTTGTGCTGTGCCCAGCTGAAAAAAATGCTCCTTCCAACTTTTGGATGTGATTATTTCAGCCTATGAGAATAAGGCCATTTCCCCACCCTGAGCCAGCCAAATCCCCAGATCCTGTCCTGTCCATGATCATACAAAGGGTGAGTCTTTTCAGATCCACCCACCCCCTGAGTGTACTGTGGTCTTTACCTGGCATGTCTAGGATTGCCGACTGGGCCATATTTCTACTGAGACCTGAGTGGGGTGGCCCCTCTGTGGCTTTGGAAGCCCCTTAGCTCTACATGCCCTGGGCCTGGGCCTTGTCATCTGATTCAACAGCAAGAAAAATGAAGTTGCCAGAACTGGCAATAGTTGTCCTTGGCTCTGGGGCTTGTGAAGGCGTCTCCAGGGAAAAGCTGGATCTGAGCCCATCAGAGGCTTCTGAAGGGCACAGCCTGGCGGGCCAC